ACGTCCGTTACTGAAACGTCTGTTGGCGAAACGTTGACTCTACCCCGTATTGTAACGACGATTACCACAGCAGATATCAAACTGGTTTATCTAGGTACATATATCAACTTTAACAGTACAGACTGAAATAACATGACGTCTATAACACAATCAATCAATGTACATGCTTCTCTTAATGAATTTTCTATTAAAGTTTTTGTAACAAACGAACCACTAGCGGTTTAAAGAATTTCCCACAATCGTTGCTAGTGATTCTATGGTTAACGTCTCCAGGTTGCTGTCAATAAATCCAATTGTATTCAATCTAATGACTTAGCACTGTCACCCATTACAATCACTGAATCAAGTTACATAATACCAAAATAACAAATTCTTTAAAACCTGCTAATCCCCTGGTATAATATTAACTGGATCATTAAATATGGGGTCCCCGGCCGGGGAATTTCCCCATGTTTATACCTTCATTCATTGATTGTTTATTCTTTCATGTTGGGGATTTTAATTAGTTTTATTATTACCATTTTCCATAACTATCCCAACAACTGACTACAAGATTATAACTATCACCATGGATAAGTCTATTAATATCACCATGGATACAAGTGTATTAATATCCCCAACAACCGAATACAACTCTATAGATCTAACTATCACCATGGATATAAGTTTATAACTAACACCATGGATATAAGTCTATAACTATCACCATGGATATAAGTTTATAACTACCACCATGGGTATAAGTCTATAACTATCACCATGGATACAAGTGTATCCAGAAAGAACTTGTGTACTAATTGACATGGATGATAATAAAATATAACAACAATTGACAATTACATCATCAATGGGTTGCACGTTTTACCATCATTATTAAATTTGATGAACGAGAAGTTTTTTTGTGTTTAATATGACTTTGATCTTTAGAACTCTCTGTCTTCCTCGCCATCATAGTTGATATAAAACTCAATGGTTTATTGTCATATCACGTGTAACTTTCTGATAGAAAAGGCGCTATTCACGTTTTTATTTTCTTTGTGGCCATATTGAGATAAACGACTTCATGATTATTTTCTAATTTGCCATGAAATTTTCTCTTTATGCAATTTCTCTGTTGTTACTTTTATCGTGTGTAAATTTTTCTTTGGTAATTTTTAACAACTCTTTTCATTTTAGCTAGAAAGAAATTGAATTTGCACCAACTTGGAAATCACTCACCGTGATAACTATCTTTAACGGAATGAAAGGCTATAAAATTATAAATAAGGGTCTTTGTTTTGAAGTTTCTTGATTTTTATCAATTAAAAAATGGATCTTATTATTTTGAACTATACGCAGCAATCACCTGATGTAAAAGTTGTGCTCTGTTAAATGAACAAGGGCCATATACTTAGAACTATATGACGACGCAATCACCTGGCGTCAAACACATGCTTTGTTAAACGTGGAGAATAAAAGGAAGTGAATTATCTGACTGAAAGTACTAGAGATAAAACGATAATGGACAGGCAGCATCCGTATTTCATTTAAAAGCCGGCCATTGCTAAAAGTCAAAACATTGAAAACGTTTTAGTTCCAAGGGCGATAACTGCGTAATTGAACAAAGCACGAGATTCAGTCTAAGCGGTCTTCACTTCAGAATGATTTTAACGGGAGCTCTAATAATCCTCGCTTAAAGGACAATATTGGTGTCATCCATTATTACATGTGATAGAACTGGTTAAACACATTCCAGATATAATTTTAACACATAGATGACTGCTACGGTAGATGCGTAACGAACAGTTGAAGAAACGGGAAGTGAGCGATTACAGACACACGGTCGAATTTCATTTCACTGATAATTCCATTGACGATGAAAAGTTGTTATATGAGACTGTGTGAGGATATCTGACAATTCAAAAAAAAGAATTGGCTGTCACTAGATAAGAGAAAACGAGAAAAATAGAAGAGGCCCGTACATTCCCTTGTTTTAATTCATTCTGTAATGCACCGACTGTTTTCTAATTTTTTTCAATTATATTTGTTTCGTGATCAATAGTTCGAAAACTGCCAGATGCATACGTGTACGGATAATCTTGTCTATAAGCTTACACAATGTAGTTGTCGAGATTATCATGTCTTTCATTTCATGTAAACAATATAACATTAATTATCTGAGCTACGTCAAGTCGGTGGTAGTCATTTTAAAATCTCTTGTAAACTACAAATGAAATGAAATGGGGTTTAACGTCCTACTGTTATGCTCCTGCTAATGAAGACGGGCATACGCCATACAGTGTAAGGGAAATTTTGCCCAGGCAGCGGCGATACGGCTTACTCTTATATCGAATTCCAACTGCTAAGGGATCTTTTACGTGCACGCCAATGTGTACACGGGACCTCCGTTTGTCGTCCCATCCGTACGACTAGACAGCTGTCCTCCGTCCTACATCACTGACAAGGGGAAACCACGCCGGAAAATCTGGATGAACTTTCTCGGCTAATGCAGGGATCGAACACCCGACCTCCGGGCTAGCGAGCCAGCGTCTTACCCACTTAGCCACCGTCACCCCCTTGTAAACTGCAATATTATAAACGTTGAATCTATTATCAGTCCACTCAATGTGTAAAATTCATTCAGTATTTACTCTTGTCTTTCGCTAAATCTAAATGTTGAGCCTGCTTTTAATCCGCTCGAATCCGGGGAGAAGGGTGTGTGTGTGTGAAGGGGGGAGGGGGTATCTAGCGTTGATATTTTTAGTTTGTTTTCTTAATTAAATGTTAAATAATTAATCTGAGTATACATATTAGAGTGGATTAAGCTGTGAGAATTTTGATATGTTCTGAAATATGTAAATCACGCACAATTGCTTTAACCTCGGTTTAACAATTTTGGCATTCTTCTTATTTTTAGGGGGGTGGAGTTCTAGTTGTTTAATGCGTGCGCGTGAAATCGCAAGGTCCATCGCCAAGTGTCCAATCTCGTCGGTTTCCTCCAGGCCTCCGGTTTCCCACTGCTAAAGACCCCAACGCGCACGCGAATTATTGAAATGACCTAGTTTGTGTCGAATGGACGTTAAATCCCATTCTTCCCACCCTCTCTCCCTATTATAGGCCTATAAATACATTTATATGGCTAGACTCACAGTGAAGTTTGCTGCTTTCACCATTAGCATATTTGTTGGTGATAAGTTTTAAAAAGGATGAAGATATCTATGTCTTATAGATGGAATATTTGGCACGTGTTAATATTATTGAATGATGGAAATACATTAAGATGTGTAATGTTAGATTCCACGATAAACTTAAAGCTGTCATTCCACCTTCTTCTGTAAATCTAGAGCAGTGATTCTCAACCAGTGTACCGTGAGATCTTTCTAAGTGTGCCGCGAAATTTTGAACGAAACCCTTAGAAAATTTCTCACTAAAGAAATCCTTTATTTGACTGATGATAATTCGAAACACCGCAATAAAGTAAGTTCATAACCGTGTTTTTCTTAATTTAGTTAGGGTTATTCTATGTGGCTATGGCTAATCTGTGTCTACGGTTGTATGCCGTCTAGGACTTGCCATGTTTTTATTTTGCAAAATACAAATATTTTTTGTATATACTTGACTAGGTGTGCCGCTATTTTTTTCATGTGTTCCAAGGTGTGCCGTTGGCAAAACAAAAAAATGTTGAGAACCACTGTATCTAGAGTAATACTTGTGAGTGGGATTACCTCGATTAAAACGTTTGTCTTGAGAGAGAGCGAGGAAAATGGGGTTTAACGTCCACTCAACACAAACCGGGTCATTTCGGGACGAACAAATGGTTCAATTTCATTACAATAATTCGCTTGCGCGTAGGGGTCTTTAGCAATGGGAGGAAACCGAAGTACCCGGAGAAAACCCACGAGGTTGGACAGGCGACCCTTCTCCTTGTCACGTACAACCGGGGAATCGAAACCCCGCCAGTTGACTCAATGACAGGACCGTTTGTCTTGAGACTTGAACCGCGGATCAGTGAGTAAATTCTCTGTCTCAATAAATAGGGGATCCCGGTTTCAAGTATCATCACATGCCCGGTGATTTCGATGCCGGTGAGGAAAGAGAAAGTTCCTCATTCGTTTTATGGTTTGTTTTTCTTTTGCAGCGTGCTTTCCCTTGTCAGTGATGTGGTGCAACAACTTCTAGTGTACGAATGGGACGACAGTTCACATAAAAAATGTGAAATTTAATGACAAGTAGGCGGAAATAACAATGTTCTGGTAAAATGTCTCTCTTAACACACTGCATGGTGCACGATCATCTTCATTAGCCCGGTTGGTAAAGAGAGTGGTGCGCTAAACTTCATTTGCCTAAATGCATCGTCATTATCTGATATACAACTGGACTAGTATGGTGTTTACAACCTAGGGTTAGAGTTAGGGCTAGAAAATACTTGCTCAAATTCCAACTGTCAAGGGTTCTTGTACATGGACGCCAAAGTGTATTCGGGTGGACAACGGGTTTTCATACCATCCGACCGACTAGGTTCCCATAGAAATCAAGAAATCAACATTAACATAAGTTTATCTCCACGTGACCGGCGTTTTAACGAGACGTTACATCACTTACTAATTAAATTTAACTTTAAATTAAACGTTTTGTTAAGATAAAGATATACAATTTATTGAATGCCACGTGTTAATTAGATAAACAAACCAAATAAACACTTCATATACACCTCAAAGCTCTATCATAAAAACCCTTCCGCTTTCTCCACGGGAGAAGAAAAATTCACTCAAATTTTACCACCATTTCGAGTAGAGAGAACGGCGTGATATGCCTTTGATGCGAGAAGAACAAGGCGATGGAATCGTAGCGGATGTCGATATACAAGTCTATAGCAAGCTATCCGCATGTCATTTTACTGGTTTGAGAACCCCATCCAACACAGTCTAACTTTAATACTCCTATACATACCATCCAACGTGCTCAAACTTCAATAGTCACACAGAAGCCACAGCTGCTACTAGATTTCTTAACAAGCTCGCTCAACCGACACCACAATATAGTTGACGAACAAATTTAACTATTGATACACCTATATTAATTAAACAGTGGAATAAGTCGGCTGGTTTTAAAAGAGTCTGTCGTTAGGTAGTTTTACTCGACTATATATAACGTACTGCTGGTGCAATTCCTAAAAATACGTGGCACTCAAATTGTCTATAAGGGTGGATTTATGGGTTAAAGTGCGTGGAATAACGACAGAACTTAACTTCCAAACATATTTGTGTTAATATTGTGTACTTCGTCACTTATCTTGTGTGTTATTTATTTGTGGGATACGTCAGCATAATTGATGATTACGTCAAAGGATATCTTAGTATGTAAGTTATATTTATTTTTGGAATCATCTTTAAAATATTTAAATTATTCGGTGATAAACTTGTTACATCAAACCCCTAGCCAGGTATGTTTGTCGTCCACCCCACCGGCCATTAATAGCAAGTATGTATCCATTATACCGAAAACAAATCATACACCTTCAGAAGCAATTAGTAACTCGATAGAGTGATAAACTACAACGCATACTTACGGAAGAACAATTACTAAATTATTTTGATAGTGGTTCGAAAAGTCCCTCAACGGTTACAAGGTAGAGAATACATCGTTCATATCGACTAAGTATAATACTTTTTAAAATGAAATTAGCAAGGCTAACAAGAACCTTTAATACCCCTTGATATCGTTTTTCCCAAGAAAGGTCTAAGGAACTTTAATACACTTCAGCACAAAGAGTCTCAAATACCTTGAATATCTTTCGAACTCACACGGGTGAGACAAGAGTCTAAAATACCTTTAATACCCCCGGACTCGGATCTCTTATCGGCCAAACAAGAGCCTAGAAAACAACCATTAATACCCTCCAATCTCGACAATACCCTCTGATCTCTTATGTACCAAACAACAACCATTAATACTCCCCAATCTCGACAATACCTCCGATCTCTTATGGGCTAAACAAGGAGGCTAAAAACAACCATTAATACCCTCCAATCTCGACAATACCCCCCGAACTCTTATGGGTTAAACAAGGAGGCTAAAAAAAACAACCATTAATACCCTCCTATCTCGACAGTACCCTCGGATCTCTTATGGGCTAAACAAGGAGGCTAAAACAACCATTAATACCCTCCAATCTCGACAATACCCTCGGATCTCTTATGGGCCAAACAAGAGCCTAAAAACCAACCTTTAATACCCTCCAATCTCGACAATACCCTGTCGCCTGTCCAACCTCGTGGGTTTTCTCCGGGTCCTCCGGTTTCCTCCCACTGCTAAAGACCCCTACGCGCAAGCGAATTATTGAAATAAAATTAAAACCATATGTTAGTCCCGAAATGATCTAGTTTGTGTCGAGTGGACGTTAAACCCCATTTCTCTCTCTCTCTCTCGACAATACCCTCTAACAAAACAATCATTAATCACCTTTTAGCCTCCGTGTACGGCCAATATCACATATTGTCAGCTTTATAATATTGTGTAATATTTACTGTAAAAATACATCGCTGGGTTTATAGGTTGGATTTGATTACAAATAGAGAAAGCTGTTGCACATTGACTTAGTAATAAAATTAGTCAGAAAAGTTTTTAGAAGTTAATGGGCCGTGAGATTATATGACATTGCTTTGAAGTTATTAGTCTGTCTTTATGAACGCCTTTCTCTTCAGGGAACTTTATGGCTTATACGATTCGATAACATGGGGAATATAACGAATCGGTGAAGTAGAGCATATTGTAATAAGTATCAACATTCCCGAGATCTGAAATAATTATTTTAAAATTGGTATTAATAATTCCATATGTTGGAAAATCGACAGGTTGCTGGGTTGGATTGGGGTTCTTTTCTGGTTGTTTTTAGATACCTTTATTACAATATCTATGCATAGAATATATATACGCATTTACAATTAAATTACAAAATATTCATTCACAGATAATATACACGATTAGCAGGGAGGGGAAATCGGAGGACCGGGAGAAACACCGCGACGTTTGACAGGTGACCCTACTCATTGTCACTTACAATTAAATTACAAAAAAATGCATTCACAATTAAAATACACGATTAGCAGTGGGAGGAAACCGGAGGACGGAGAGAAAACCCACGAGGTTTGACAGGTGACCCTCCTCATTGTCACTTACAATTTGACCCAATGGCAGACCTTATGCTCTAACCGCATAGGTGTCTTCAGCAGTGGGAGTAAACCGGGGGACAAGGAGAAAACCCACAAGGCCGAGCAGGTGACCCTACTCCTTGACAAACCTTATGATCTAACCGCGTAGGTATCTTAAGTAGTGGGAGTAAACCGGAGGACCAGTAGAAAACCCACAAGGTCGAGCAGGCGACTCTACTCCTTGACAAACCTTATGATCTTAGTGCACACACTAGACTACTCGACCACCCACCACCTCTCTCCGGATACTTCTTGTATATTATCTCGATATGAATTGTTTGTTCACGCTATGATTTGTTGAGCAGCCTTCCTTCTTTGTATATTGTATTACTAGAAGAACCCCCTTTTAACAAAATGTGAAACATGTGTAGGGAATAGAACTTGTTGTTTAATAGAAATAGATAATTATTTTTAAATTGGAGAATTTTCTTTTTTATCAACATTTCCATCGATTTTCATTATAATATATATTTGCCAAACAATAAGAAACTGAATATTTAATGAGGTACATTTCTCTATAATCATCATTCCTGCTTATTATTTATGTCTTTTTTGTTTTTTAATAATCTCATTTGAAATTGTTTTCTCGAAACAATGGTGTTCATAAGGAGCTTGCGTGAAATATCGCAGGTTCTTATTATTATGGTCGTTGAAAGAAAACATTTATTATCCCGTTTTTCTGTTCCATCCGAAAGAAGAATTTTCTGGGCACAAGGGTATCGTACGTAGGACGTGCTACTTCGCGGGCCAACCCAGAACTTACTGTGCCATCATGCCTCTACAGTACAATTATGGAATTATAATATAGGCCAGAATTATATATAGGCCAGAATTATATACGCCAGAGAATTATATATAGGTCATAATTATATTGACCAGAATTATATATAGGCCAGAATTATAATTATGGTCTAGAATTATATAGGCCAGAATTATAATATAGGCCATGATTAGTTACTATAATAATCATAAAGTTCTGAATTTCCAACATCAATTCTACTTATCTCTATTTACATGACTGTACAGGCACCAATCTTTATTGAAAAGGCTCTGGGACATATTGAAATTTATACGCATCTCGACTCCTCTTCAGCATCGGGAATTAGTTGGATATTTCAGAGAAAAAAAAGAGTATTTCGATTCGCTTAAATCAAACATGGTTTAGCTAAAGATTCCTTATTCGTTCGTGTAGTGGTTACATTTATAGAAAAACAAAACAACATTGGAGATCGATTAATGATTAACAAATTGGTGAATAAAATTAAAGAAAACAATTTCTCTTTACATGTATAAATATAAAACCACGCGAACTTGTTAAAATTCAAAATTTGAAAGTAACCACCGACACCGGTAATTAAAAAAAAATCTTTGTGTAAGTATATCCTTGTCTTGAAATTTGAAACATAATTATTAACGAAACAAAAAATAACCCACATAACGGAAATATATTTTCTGTTTTAGCCTAACATGCGTGGACCAGATGTCGCGTTCTCTCTACAAAATATTGTATAGTAAGCCACAATGATGAACACAGAATTCATAATAATTACACCAACAAAACAAACAATCGCATATTGAACTGTGACCAGTCATAACTCATAGGAATTATTCTACATAATCACGACTCAAGTATTTCTTATAAAAAGGCTCTATAAAAATACAATAATGGTCTTTGTGTAAGTTCAAATCCAACGTATTTATGATATCGACATTGATAATACGCTAGTTTTTATAAAGATTACCGATATACGGTTTTAACCTCGTTTTAAATCTCTTTGAACAAGTTTTAACGGCTACAATATGGAGAGTGTCTAATTTCATTAGCCCGGCTTGTGCAGTGGTACGTTAAAGGAAATGAAATGAAATGGGGTTTAACGTCCTACTGTTCTGCTCCTATACTGGGCTAATGAAGACGGGCATACGCCATACAGTGTGCTATGAGGGAAATTTTGCCCGGGCAGCGGCACTTTCGCCTACTCTTATATCGAATTCCAACTGCTAAGGGATCTTTTACGTGCATTCCAATGTATACACGGGACCTCGGTTTTTCGTCTCATCCGAAGGACAAGACAGCTGTCCTTGTCAGGCCCTCCGTCCTGCATCACTGACAAGGGGAAACCACGCCGGAAAATCTGGATGAACTTTCTCGGCCAATGCAGGGATCGAACGTACGTTAAAGGAACTATCCCGATTTGAACAGAATCTCGAAAATAAAAGTCCGAGTATGTATGACATTTAAGAGCCAAAATTTAGAGGAGTGGTGTATTTACCTTGTCTCAAAATTTCAGCTCAAAATATTGAGTCGTTTGGACGTGTACGCCAAAACTGCTTATCCGGCCGGACACTAACCCTTTTAAGATTTCGGGTCAATTTCTTCTTTGGGTGACCTGATATTCGATTCCCGTTCCTTTAGAGGTCTATACAGTGAATGACCTATGTGCTGTACTTGATAACGAAGGACAGGTTTAAAGCGATAATTTCGTATTTTTAAGTTATATTTTTAAAATGTATTAAAATAAAGCCTTAAAATAGATGGTTATAAACAGCCCTACCTTGTTAAAGAATAATCCTATAATTACTATTGCCAGTTAGGAAATTGGCAAAAATATCATTTTTAACTTCAAATTCAAACATTTGAAGATAGCTATTCCATGGGGTGGGGGGATAGGAAAACAAGGGAGGTAATTGTGTTATTATTTCCGGGGTGAATGATTTTTAAGTGTGAGAATGATACCTATGATCGTATAATAGTGAGTTGATAACCTATTGAGCAAAAGACATAGAAATAATTATGTTTTGACGTTTTTTTAGAAAATATGAAATTCTCGCTTTAAGTAGTTTGAAAACGTATCCCATATATTGAGTTAGTTGCTCGGCCCTAAGGTAGAGGAAGTTTTATTTTCCAAAATATTATCGGGACTGGCGCTTTAAACCCCATTTAATTTCATTGATAAGAAACTTACTATAAGAATAAAATATAATTTGACATAAATGGTATCGTGACCCGAGTCCATCAGTTTTTAGAGAAAGTAGGAAATTCCATATGTTAGTAAATGTTTTCTAGTTCCCAGCATTAATGGAAATGGTGGTGATAAAAATAAAATAAAACCAAGTACGAACAATCCAAACCATAAGACAGAATTCGAAGT